CTGTTGTTAAATCGAGAGCACAGTACAGTCCTTTACTGTACAAACGAAACTTTCCGAAGCCCGTAGCAGGAAGAATAAGGTGAGCGCAAGGCCATAACAGACCGACTATCAGAGTCTTCCGCACTCTCGCATATGTAACTTGGTTTCTGTAGTACAAAGGCCTTGTAACTGCCAGGAAACGGAGCAGGCACATTATAAACACGATAACAAAAGACCAGCTTAGAAACGTGGTGGAGATGAACGCAGTTACGGAGCACAGAGTCTGGCCTCCAATCCACGAACAGGTTGCAAAGGAGATGATGGAGAATGGAAGCGTTGTGATTGGGATTAGGAGGTCGCTGACAACCAGAGTTCTGACAACAAGATGATACTTGTTTTCTTCTAGGCCTGGAAGCCTCCATATTGCTATCGCTGCCACCAAATTTGCAAGGAATGATAAGAATTGCACAGTGGCCATCGAGACAAGCTCTGCTTCATTGCTGCAAATCATTCCTGGTGTCAAAGGAGCAGTTTGATTCCCGGTTGAATTCATTTGTTCAGCAAGGCTCTGTTGACCTTCTCTTCAAAGCAAACAAGAATTTAACGATTATGAAGTATCAAGAAAAGAAACCCCTCGAAGAAGTTTCTTCGCTATCCGATGACTTTCACTTCAAACAAAACTAAATGAACTCCACGTCCAAGTTTGAGTTGGTCAATGAGAAGATCGTGATCCGACCTCTGAAGTTTAACACAGATAACAATTGCGCAGCATTATCTTTAATTTCTTTGTTTACTTGCTGACTAATCATTAGTCTGCTTGCGATCTTTCTTGAATAAAAAATGAGAAAAGCTTTGAACATTGTTTGTTTAAGGTTCGTCCCACTAACGCGCCTTGTTTTCGACTCAGATATTACCAACCCATACAAGTGTGCCTACTTTTACACATTGTCCATAGAGTTTATTTCATCAAAGTAAAATTTTGTTTAGTGATGAGATAGTTAAAGTTCTGGAGATGTTATTTCGTTTAAAGAGGCGTCGAATGGAAGACTTCGACTAAAACAAATACCTTTGTGAAAAATGACAAGCTTGTTAATAATTTCTTTGATCTGAAAGGTTTGGTTATTTCAGACAAACAATGCATCAATCTGTATTTTTTCCACCAGGAAAATGCACCTTTCAGCTGAGTAAATTTTCGGTTATGCAGCTCGAAAAAGCGAATTACGAGGCTCAGGGTCTTAGCAATACAAATCTGCAAGAGTCAAGTAAAACACAACATAATTTGCTCTTTTCTTCAAAACCTGAATCCTATCAAACAATTTTTTTCTACCTGTCTCTCCAAAATAAAAAATTTACCATAACAAATATTAAAAGAATGAAGCTCATGGCAAAAACAATGATTTCACCTGCCCAAATAATTCGAAGGACAAGTTTCTTGACAAAGGGAGAAATCACGTTTTCGAATTATCACTTCAGATCTCAATACACGATTTCACGCAAAGTAAATACCCCAGAATCAGGCCCCAGAGGAAGCTATCTTTCAGATAACAAATAATCGCTGGAACGTTGAAATTGAAAGAAAAATGATGTTTCAGGGTAAATGTGAATTTTCAAGGTTGAATCTCTAGAATCTCTAAAAAATATCGAGAAAACTTACTCATACCTTGTGTATTCGCTCATTTTGGCCTGACACATAATACGTGACAAGCCAATACGTAGTTGCGTGACGAGCCCAAAACAGCTGCGAGACAAAAATAACACTGTCACATGAAAAAACATGGCGACTCTGAAGGACTCTAACTTTCGCCGTTATTAAATAATTCCATGGATGGTTTACATCTCACTAGTTTTAGGTTACTCCTTCTATTATTTTTATAGAAAGTCTTACACATTCGCCATACCGGCCTTAATACGAAACCTTTACCTGAAGAAGAATGAACTTGGTGTAATAACGAGTGGTTTCGCAGCGATGTATAGTGTCAGAAAATTTCGGGCGGCTTATTATCAGATACTCTGAGTCCTTGAACGATGTTTACGACAGAAATTTTATGAACTGGGATGATAAAAATTCTTATTGGATTCACTGGGAACGTCTAGCTTTCGACGTTTCTCTGGAGTATGAATAGTCTGGCTCAAGGTTGTGGTTGACCGCCTTGCACTAAATGACCCGAAGAGTGGTTCTTTCCTAATGAGGTGGGTAATCACATAAGAAACTTGTAAATCGAAATTTTGAAAAGGTGATTAGCAAAATCTGTGTGTATTTTTTGTATTTAAACACAGAATTAACTGAACATGAAATATATTTTTTTTTACTGCAAGAAAACACAAGTTTATCACGTGCAACAACTACCTAGTTACCGTAGTCGACTTAAATTACTTTGACCAAACTATGAATTTAAGTTGGGGGGAGGAAATTTGCGATATCGATATCGATAACAATTTTAAATCAGGATCAAGAAAATAAGTATCAAGTTGTGGTATACCGGTGTAGGTACATCCTTAAATGTTGTTAACACTCTGTACCGTTCCAAAACAAGCTCACTTAAAACCTTCTTCTTACAAATTTTAAACATTGTTAATAGAGGTTGAGCTCTTCGCAACCTAAAACTATACTCAAAATTTATGAATAGGAGAAAGGCGAGGTACACAATCTATTACTACAGATCTTTAACAGAATACATCATGGCCAGGATGTCCATTTCCTCTTTCTAATTAAATAATCAGTAGAGAGAGGCTTTTATCATGCACAAAAATGGAGAGCGAATAATCTTAATGTTTAAGTTTTCCACTGGTCTATCAGAATACTAACAAGAGGGGCTCATGTTTGGGTTTTTTATTTTGTCTATCCTAGAATAGATACTGTTGGTAGCCAAAAGCATAACCAATGAAATTACAGCATTTGTGATACAATAATGATTCCCTTTACATCCTGTACGTATTTGGCTAATGCAGTTGAAACCCTATATTTATCTGTGTATGTCTATAGCTAAGCTGTGTTCATGGCTCTTCTATTCTAGTTGGATACTGTGGAGTCTTCTTACAGCTGGCTTAAAAGCATTTCTGATTTCAAACTTTGGTTGGTCGGCAGCAACCTTTACTTCTAGAACCAGTACTGCTGCAATGTCTGTTTTAGCTTTTACCTCATTTGTGATTCTCCATCAGAAATAGGCCTGATGCTATGCGGTCAAAACCTCCCTCTTACTTTCAGCCCTAGTTACCAGAGTAACAGCAATGTGTAAGTTAACTGAAGGCTTAACATTCCTTTAAAGGAAGTTGGATCAAAACAAATGACCCAGTATTACTGAGATCAAAGGATAAAAGTTAGTTATATTAGTTAAAGTCTCATAGCTTGAAACTTGCTGTATTTTTATCAAACAAAAATCTTATTTTAGGGAAAATGTTATAATGCTCTCGGGAGGATTAAGATTCAGACTTTTGAACCACTTTGCTTCACTTCAAAATGCTAACCATGAATTCTCTACTCTGTGTTGTACTTGGCTGACTCATAAATTTAACTCAATACCAAATATCAAACAGTAACTTTTCAACTCCAAATGAAGCAAGAGTTTTCTGGTTGTTTCACTCAACTTGCAGAGCTGAAAAAAGCTTCAAAGATCCAAATCTTCAGGATTTGATGAAATTTAATTTAAAAATTATTTGCCATCTCATGTCCAATATGCACTCATGGAATAATATTATTATCAAATATTCTTATTATATATGATAAGTTAAATTATACAGTCAGGCATTCTAAATGTTTTTTTACTTATGATCTATACAAGGACAAACAGGTCTATGACATCACCAATAGCAACATTTTGCTATATTATTACATAAAACAGTTAGATTTCGTGTTGCTATGGATCTTTGCAATAATAGATCACAGAAAACGTCAAAATGTGGTGAGAACATCAGTGACACACTCAGCTGTGCCTCGTGTGCCACTTATTTGTTCTGACCACATTTTGATATTATCTGTGATCTACTTCTGAACAGACCCACAGCAACATGGAATTTATTCCCTGTGTTAGTAAATTAGGATTATCATACTGAGGTGTGTACCTTTTTGTCCTTTCAAACACTTCTGTAAAATGTATCAAACTTGACTTTTACCAGTTAATGGAAATTTACTAAGTTGACTAAAAAAATTTTTTCCTCATTTAAGTTAACCTTAACTTTTCATTTTCAGTCCAATATTGCAAGTTAAGAGTTAAAGAATAAATTTAAATATATTTTAAAAAGGAGTATGAAACATTTTATAGTATTAAGAAGAAAGTAATTGTCAGTAAGGTTAAAATATTCACTTATTTCAAAATTATACGTTACTTCATTATTTTATTAAATAGTATGAAAATTATTTTACCAACTAAAGATATTTATTTTAATAAACAATTATTCATCAAAGTGGAGGTGAATATTGGTAGATATTCACCATGCCCCAAAGCAGTAAGATAAATATTCACTTTCACCAATGCTGAGGTGAAAAATTGTTTTAGTATATTCCACACATACACTGTATACCAGAAATTAGTTTATTTCTCTAGTATACCAAAAAATGGTCAGAAATTAGATTCTTGATGTGCAATTTTGTCTCATTGGTCACTTGGTGCTAAATAGTACTTGCTGTTCTTTTCCAAACTAGCCAATCAGTGGGTGAGAAAACCACTTTTTACTTGCATGTTATATACTATTTAATACAACACATTTGTATATAAAAAATAGGTACTAACTTAGAGCAATGCAGAATTTGTCAATAAATTTTTGTACATTCATCCATTTGTTAACACTTAATTTCTGCTCAAATAGTCATTTCCATTAGCAGCAAAGGGAAGAACATCTAACACCTCTTTTCCTTGGTTGGGTAGTTTCTGCAGCTGGTTTCCATTGCTGTCATTCCATATCAAAGTCTAGGAGAAAAAAAAAATAAACAAGAGACAAACATTTTGCATGCTAAGGTGGGGTTCATCCAAATAACCACACACAAAGGTAGACAATTTTTTCATTGCTGGATTCATGTAGTTGCTTAAGAATGTCTTTCTTTTGGACAGGATGTTTAATCTTATGGCTGAGAGGTACGCTAATGTTAAGATCATGACAAGCACATACTTCTGTTCTCTTGGCATCATGTTCAAACAAACTCTTACATATTTTACAGCAATTTTGCATGAAGATAAGGTTAATGATTTTGGTTATACATGTACCTTAATTTCAAAAACCTTTCTTAGCATACATGTAGCCCTTTCACTTTTAGAAGAGGCCAAACAATACTCAAATTACTAAGACAGCAGGCAGGTAATCAGAATAACAAAAACTATCAAGCAGCTGATAGTTGACAATAAATTCTAAGACTTTCCATCATAAGAAGCTGTTGATGAATGTGGGAAGGAGTATTAATCTCAATATCTTAAAGTGAAAGGGTTAGACTATTTAACAGACACACAAATGACGAAGGTAAGTTTCTGAAGAAACTGTGGTGCTGCATCATTGGGGAGAATTGCAAGATATGTAATTTGCATGGTTTTATCAACTGAGTTGATAATGTGAACCCTAAGCAACCTAAAGAGTTTCTAGCACTTTCCCCACCAGTTTTGCCTGTTTATTCAGTCATGTCTCTTTGAATGAGGGAGACACTCTATCAACAAAGACTTTATTTACTCTTACTGGCTAAACTTTTATCTAACTCATAAACATAATTACATCAGAGTTTAGCCTTGAGATTAAGCAAAAAATTAACATATGGTAAACATTCATTTGACAAATGAACTGCACAAGATAAGAAAGTCCAACCAAATGTCTTGTTTGAGAGAATTTCTTGGAGGAGCGAAGTGAAAACATACAATTATGAGTTGATAAAAGGATAAACTGGTGCAAGACACCAAACAGTATGAAACAAAATAGAATGAAAACCATGATGATGTGTTATAAGTTGTCAGTGCAAATAGGGTCTGACTTAATGCATTTGTTGCAAAGAGAACTTACACCATGTACATGTTAACCACCTACAGGAATTAAGGGCCTAAACTTAGAGTCACATTTAAAAAAAAAAAAATTTAACTGCCCACACATGTGAACACTGTACATAACATAATTATGTCCATCACAACGGTGATGGCATTAATTTGTCATTCTGGGATTGGTTTTGTTAGAATATAGTCAATGCACAAAAGTGATAACTATACCAGTCAATTAAACCCCCTCAAAAAATTTAGGAAGTTCGCATTCGACTTTTTCCCTGAGTAAAGATGATTAAGAAAATAACATTACAGTTTACCCTCTACAGATCTGTCATTTTCTCTAATACAGTCATTACAATTACCTTCAGGAAGAGTAAAACAATGAGAGACAAAATAAGCTCCAGGTGTTTTTTCCCAGTTCCTTCAAGTTTGCAAACAAGAATTTCACCAGGTCTGCAAAAAGAAAAAGCAACCCCAAGTAAATTTGAGTGTCCATTCAACCTCTCTCTTCAAGCAACTAGGCATTTCCCTTCTACATTTTTGTAACATGCATCAACTGCAAGATAACAATGCCCCAGAATTGTATGAATTTAAAAAAAATACATTATGCAATAACTTTGAAACAAATGCATATATTTTGATTCTTCCTTTCCTACATGCATGCCTGTAATAATTACATTTTCACATGGATGCAATTGCTAAGGAAATTTGTCTTTCCTTTAATGTTCACCTAATACAGTGTTAGATGCCCATAACATTGAAACTGTGTGGAAAGGCTACAAATTACTATTACTAATAAAGGGGTTAGTTTCTAAAGAAACTGTGGGGGAGTTTAACAAGATAATTTTGATTTTATCAACTGAGTTGATAATGTAAATTGGCCACTGCTAAGAGTTTTAAAGCTGACATTTCAAGTAGTTTTGACTTTTAAAGTTAATATTTTTAAGTGCAGATTTCCCTCACTTGACTTGGAGAGGCAGCTGTTTGTTCATTCTACAGCAATTAAATGACAAAAAATCTTTGTCACAAGAAAGTCTAACATTAACCATTTTTTTTTTCATTGACTGATGACACAAAACAAGACAGCTTTCAGAATGTTACAAACAATTATTGTACAACTTATATGAGGTAAAACACATTTTTCTTTCCTACAAGTGTTCCATCTACACTACTGTATAAGCAGGTCCACACCACACCCACTTCAATACGAGTGTTTCTTCACAAACAAATAAATTTAAGGCCTTGAGCCAAACCAGTCAGCCACACCCACAGCACACCTCTTTCAATCTCTTCTTAAATCTTCCCACAGGTGGAGAAACACTTATTCAGCAGAGCCAACAACGAGGCTGTTTTCCTGTTTCCTGTCTCCATAATCCCAGCATAGCTCCATTTTCTGCATATAAACCTACACACAGCCCACAATTCCTCTAATTGCTCTGATGAAGGGCTGATGCTCGAAATGTCAGCATTCTGGTGACCAATTTACTTTATCAATTTAGTACATAATACTAAATTACAAAAGTTACATCAGTCAAGGTACAAAACTTAACAAGCCATGATGATTAAATATTTAACAATTACTCCATAAGAGCACATTGGATATGAACCTGTTATTAAATCCTTAATTTTTGGATATCTGGAACTTTATAAAGTCAAATGTTTTAGCTTCACAAAACTTGGCACAATGTATTTCCATATAAGGTGATTATATTATCAGAATATGAGCTGAATATTACTGTATTAAGAAGTGGCAAATACAATTTTCAAGCTGTACCTGTGAATCTTGAAAAGATGTTTGTAGAATATATGATTTCCATGATAATAACCTCTGACTAGAGGTGCTTTGCCCAAATTTTCTCACAGCTGTTGATGGCCCCCTCAGATTCTGAGCTGCACTGAGAACATGATAAGCTGAACCTGGAGATGTAATAATTGGACTTTACTTTCAAATTCCAAGAGTGACTAGCATCTAATTTCTCCCTACAATATCACCTCTGAACCACACATTGAGGTCACAAGAGTAAAGGTAATGATCACCAACTAAACATTGGTTTTCAGTTACAACAGAGTCGGAGTCAATAACAGAAGTGCAGAGCGATGCGATCAAGAGAAAACTTTGTTTCGATTCCAAATTGGACAACTTTGGGACTAAAAGAAAAATTACACTTATACAGTTCAAATGATGTCACACACACTTGAGTCAGCCATCATATCAGAAAAAGACAGACCAACCTAGGTAAAAGCTACACTGTAAATTCAAAAATTAATTAAGAATAGTATACAGCCGCATGAAGTTTTTCCAGACAGTTCATGTAAAAATCAGCTTTCTACTAAAATCTGTAGCCATCAAAGATCGGCAGCGCAAGACTAGCATCTATTGATTGCAGCTCAGCCTGAGCAAAACTTACATCGTCATCTTTTCGGGTGATTTAATCGGTGACCTGGTATCTTCATCTTTTGCAGAAATGTCATTAGTGGTTGTTTTCAAGGACTTCTTTTAATAATCGTCTGGGGAATTCACTGCTGACGCTCCAAGAACTTGTACATTTCTGGCGACCGCCAGCGTCACGGCGTCACATGCGCCTCTGATACATCTGGTACGTTATTTTCCTCGCTTGATTGCTGAAGGCGTTCGCTTTCTTGTTCACCTCCGCCAGAGTCCACCTCCATCTCTTGTTCCTTGTGTTCCGACTCGTACTCCGACTTCACGACGTTCTCATTTCTGCGATCATTTCGATCATTTACAACAATTTCTACAACTTCAAGGTAATTATTAGCGAGACTTAAAGCCATTAGACCTCTAAAAACCGTGGAATACTCTTATTGTCACACAATTCCGATCAAATGTCCCATTACTCACTGACATCCACAATACCCGCCATTTTCAAAATGGCTGATCCGAGCAACTCCAAGAATGTTGTTGAGTCTGGGTCTAGCAAGGCTTAGTCCCCTTCCGCAACGATGTAACTTTCTTAAGATAAATATTATTACAAATTGTTACATTTTGAATTGGAATCTCTATCTTTCAATTGAGAATCAATGGATAAGATGAATTCTTTTCCTTCTCCTCGGCTGTAGGAAATTTGGGGCTCCCTTGTGAAGGTCTTCTTGCAAAATCAGTCACAGGGGCATTTTTCAAGATCTGTGTGCCTATCGGCGCGCTATCAGTACCAAATATAATGAATTCGTCACTCGTTGTCTTGTCTATAGGTCAAATTACGACTTATTTCATGTTTCCAGAATGCGACCAGATCTCTCTAAGGGAAACAAAGAGCCCCTTTAAATTCACTCCACCGGCTGACTTGTGGCGTCACAGCTCTTTTGGTAGCACTTAAAAGCGTCCATTACTTGGAGCGTTCAACTGCCCTGTATTTTTGTCATGGCTCCTGAATCAGCCTAATAAAAGTTATTAGTAAGTAGCTCAAATTTAAACCCCAATTAGCCACAGAGCTTTAGTGCCTTACTATGTCGCGTGCACGCGCTTTTTCCGAAAACCTTCCTGCAAACAGCTGTATTCTGATGTGCAAAACAGGCTGCAATCCATAGACGTTAAATCAAACTTTCCTATCGTTGTAATGAAATAATCTCATGTTACCTGTTATCGAGCTCAACCCTTAACATCCTAACATCAGTACTTATATTCTCCCTGCTTTTATCTACACATTTCCCAAGGTAAGTGACAAGGAGAATTTGTTTGACAATCGAGAGCTTCTTTAGTTGGTCATCACCTCCTTTATTCTCATGACCTTTAATGTTTGATTCAAAGTGATACTGTAAGGAGAGGTTAGACGCTAGTCACTTGGTAGGGGTTTGAAATAAAGGGCCAATCAAGCTTTATAAACCTACTGTTGCCTTTCTTGTCGTTTTCAGTGGTCCTGGCTTTTTCGAAGTAAAGCAGCTGCTTCCAACTCTGGTAAGTATGATGTACACATTTTAATTCTGCGGTACCGTCACAGCTCGTAAATGATGTCATGAAGCTGAGGCTCCTCGTAGCGTTTAGGGTGAAGCTTTACAATTACAATTTATTTAATTATATCTCCCAGTTAGCACGTGCTTTTTATTTTTCCGAATGACTCACTAAACTCATAAGTTTGCTTAAGTTGCACTCAAACAAACTTAACGAACCTCTTAAAAGATCGATACAGTGAATATCTTGTTAACCTCGTTTTCATGGTCAATACTGTGAGTCATAGAACGGCGTTTTTTCTACTCGGTCCGCAACTTAAAGAACGGACTTGGAACTCTGTTAGTAAGAGGCATGTCTGCCATGTTCTAAGCAAGGTGATGGGGGTTGGTAAAGTGGATTAAATGACATTTGCATCCGAAGTTTTTCGATTCGTGCAGGGCGATAATGTGATCAAATATTTCTTAATGTTTGCTTTAACTTCTTAGGAAGTTTTTTGAAAAGCAAAGGTCAAAACCGATTTTGTCCGAGTCGATGTTGTAACGACGTCCGGTGACGTAAAGAGTTATGTACATATGCAGATCATACCTAAAACGACTGGTGAAGACTGGTGAAGACTGGTGGTGTTCCACTTGATATTTCTTTGATCATATTTGATTCCACATCTGCTGCTAACTCCCAGAGAAAAATGCCCAACACTTCAAGGTTGGTTATGGTTTTTGTCATGATCCGAAATTCAAAATCCGCCAACACTATGGCCAAGAACACATTGTATCAGTTGCAATTCATAACGTCTCCCAATGATGGATTTTGCGAAGCTACGATCAAAATGAAGAAAGGTATTCCTTCGCTAGGAGGGGATATTAGTCGAATCGACGCTTATGGAAATCAGTCATATTGCATCGCAGACAAATTTCCACTTTTACGGAAGTATTGTTACTACTTATAGAAAAAAAAGCTCTTTCGCAGATGTACCGTGAGACCACCTCGACACCAGGTGCCTTTGAACGGGAAATAGAGCGCGCAGTGCTTCATGGTTAAGTGATAAGTTGAAAAAGTTCATGACACCGTGGACATTGAGCTGCAAGAAATGAGAGAGGCCCGGACGAGACAAGATAGATGTTAGTTTGTAAAATTTATGCAGCGTACCGAAATAAACAACGTAGACTGCGATGCTCTGTGTTGCCAAACAGATTATAAACAGATAATTACAATGGTATGTCAGGATTGGTCTAGAATTGCGCAATATCTCGCTTTAATCACCTCGCGCGAGGTGATTACGGCAGGGGTGCTAAATTTTAAAATGGCTGCCTCGCATTTTGTCAGTTTACGGAGGAAGTGACGAAAGTGATGGAAGAAAATAGCAAAAAAGACGCCACTAAGCTTGGTATAACACTTTTCGAAAGAAAGATATGATCTTTCTGCTAACTGAATCAGATAAAACTGTTAAATTCTAGTGGAGACTGGCTGCTTATTTTAATACAAGTAATTAAAACAATTGTAACAGAATGGTTTCCACAACAAAACGAATTTACAAGAGAAAGCACCGAGTAATTATACTTAAACAATTATTCGCCACAGGCTCAATGAGTATTGTTGAATAATCCCATTGATTATTTATTAGATAACCATCTAGTGAATAAACCCTTTCAGGCGGCTATTGTGTCTGCTAATAATTTCCGCGGTTGAGATATTGTCTGAGAAATGTGAAATTTTGAGAGCAATCTCTCAACAAAGGACATTATCAGCCGATATACCAGCAAGCCAAAAAGGGGTTTATCTACTTTATGACCCTCACATTCAATTTTGTGTCGCACGTTGTACTTTTCGGACCAGCACTTGAGACCAGCTTTTTAATGTCACTATCACTGGAATCTACAAAACGAATTCGTTTCCCTTCATGTAAAGTAATAAAGATGAATAAGGGGAACTCTTGAGTCTTTAATTTTTCCCGCAAGTTCTGTTTTTTTTTTGTTTTTGTTTTTGGTTTTTGTTGTTGTTGTTGTTGTTGTTTTTTTTTTTACGGTAATAAGAGGAGGTCAAATATTGACTTGAACGGGGGCTGTTGCGTAATATTTGTCAGGTGATTTTGAACCACGTGACGTTAAGAGACTAATAGAATAACTTGAAAATTAATGGGTGGGTTATAATCAACAAAATGCTCTGAGCCTTCGGCGTATAACTTTGAGATGTTAGACTGTGCGAAGAGTATACAAATATTATTTAAATGTTATTTAACCACACTTTCCATCGGTTTACTGGCTGATAAACCATTTGGGATGTTGGGAGAACACGAGATAATAAATAGTTATATAGTTAGTCATGAAGATTAATCATCTTGCTAAGTCATTGTTGTTCAGGATAACAGTGATTCCTTCTGCTCTGTCATGGCGGCTGCTGTACAAATTGGTTCATAGGGATGTTCTGTATCTGCAGATGCTGATTGATGAAACTCAATGGTTATGATGTAGACAATGGCACCCAGTACTCCCCCTAACGGACATGCTACGACTGGGACCCAGGCCCAATTATTATATGCCCTGAAACGGAATATGGAAATGGTTGTTTTAGCAACAAACGTGATTTCCATCAATCCTACCAAATTCAGATCCTCGGATCGTTGCAATGTCATATATTAATCGCAAAATTGCAAGTTTAATCGTTTGAACAAGAGGTTGAGGTCGCAGATTGTTAGAATAGACTGAGGCAGTTCTTGAGATCATATGGTCTTTGGTATTACCTCTAGAATAGGAAATTAATTTCGCTAAAAAAGGCCCGTTCTGAACACATGGTTAAAATACAGCCTCGACAGATCTTTTTGCTTGTTTTTCTGCATGCCTAGTTACTATACGACTTCTTACATGTAACATGCTATTTGACATTTCCATTGATATTTTACTTCATAAACGACTTACGTAAACACTTCAGATCCCCATCCAGCCATTGCAGTGAAAATTCTTGGCCCCAGATCCCTAGCGGGGTTGATGGGGTAACCGCAGTTTAATCCAAAGGTGGTGCCAATCAAAAACACGACCAGACCAATCATGACCGGTGCCACCCCCTGGTCGGGGGCATTGTTGTTGCGGTCCAGGATAGCGAATATGCAGCTGACAAGGAGAGCGGTGCCAAAAAACTATAACAATTAAAGTCATCTGATTTAAGAGGAAAGAAAGTTCCCATAATAGATTTCACTTTGCCTTGCGTCTTTTAACAAATACACCATGTTACTGTGTGTCTGTTCAGTAATATAAATCACATACGGTGTCAAAATGTTATCAAAATGCGGAAAGAACAAAAAATTGGCGAACGAGGCGTTGCCGACATTACTTATCACCTACTGATGTTGACGCCTACTGTGATGAGTTACCGAACAGACCCACCGC